CCTCCCAGAAGATGCTGGAGTTTTCAGGCGGCTTCGGGGCTCCCAGAGAGGCCTCCCACAGCTGATGGATTGCGACAGCAACCCAGTCTGCCGGCTCTGGAAATCTGGGTGTTTCTGGAAGCATCTTAGACGTTGTCTTTCTAGGAGTTTGGAACTAAAAGCCCTTCTCCAGTTGTCTTCCTCTAGGCTGGCCATCGTCGCCCCTGAAGGGAGCCAAAGAGGGGCCAGGTGGCAGGGCTGTGGATCCCTCCTTGGCCCTGCTCCCCATAGCTGTCTGGCAGAAAGACGTTGTTTAGCCAGGGAGTCGGGGGACGCGGGTGGCTTTGACCTTGGCTAGTTGCCAGCACCATGACTCATTTTCTTCATCCGTCGGTGAGCCCATCGGACTGGATGTTCTGGAAGAGTCCTTCAGGGCCTGAATCAGGTTTCTCCTCCGCTCTGTCCCTCCCTCCCCAGGCACCAGGAGCTCCTCCGCAGTCTGAATGCCGCAGGAGCTGGGAGTGTATTGGGGAGTGGCGCAAGATTGTTGGACCAAATTTAGGTCCTGAACCTTTCTCCTGGGAATCCAGGGTTAGCCGGAGCCCCAACCTCCCATGTCGCTCAGGCTCCCCCTCCACATACTGTGGGGTCACCCTAACCTGCCTTCAGCCAGAAGCCCTCACCCTGCTTGTCTCCTCCTAGACACTTCCCGGGCACACCCCTCCCTGCTCCTCAGCTAGGCTAGACCTTCCCATGGAAAGTAAGCCCAAATTCCTCACCGTGAAACCCTAGTATCCTGCGCCTATTCCTGTCTCAAGGGTCCTGAATAGACGGTGCTTTAAGGAAGGTGGCGGAATAATTCCATCTGTCTGTGTGTGCCAAACTGGAGTTTAAACTCAGGACTTTCGTGCTGAGCAACATCCCCAAACCTTTTACACATTTTTAAAAATGTTTTACTCTCAGTGAGATAGATCTTTTGCAAATGGAAAAGGAACCAAGAGATGGAGAGAGAAAGAAGGGAGAGAAGGGAAAACGGATGTAAAAAGGAATTAAGATGTGTTATGAACATGTACCAACTTCCCATGATGAATGTAATCATGTATTGCAAATATGTACTAATAAAAAAAGGTGGGGCATGGTGGCGCTGTAAACCTAGCACTTGGGAGGCTGAGGCAGGAGGATTGTTGTGAGTTTGAGATCAGCCTGGTCTACAAAGTGAGCTCAAGGCCAGCCTGAACTGCATAGGGAGACCCTGTATCAAAAAGAAAAAAACCAAAAAGCCAACATAATACTTAATGAAAGTCTTGACACGTAATAAAAACTTTCAATAAATATGGAGTGTTGGGGCTGGGGAGATGCCTCAGTAGAATAAGCGCTTCTCTGGCAAGTGCAAGGGCCTGAGTTCAATCCCCAGTTCCGCCAAAAAAAAAAAAA